TATTTTTAGCTAGCTGTTCTACGATCCTGTCATAACGCACTGTGTTTACAACACTTGCTCTGAACGCAAATCGGCTTTTATCTTGCTCACTCATGTTGCAGGTTTGCTTTCCCTCATCTGATCAGTTGGTGGATTATCAGGAAGGGTCTGTGTTCACCAGTTCGTCGAATATAGCTGAAAGTCATCCTAATATCTAATAGCTAATAAAAATATGTGTACTGGAAAGTCATTAGAGTCATTCCATAATGGTCATACCCCTTAATCCACAATATTCATAGAACCCAGTACTGTTAAAAATGTTCAACCGTTTTCGTTGACCCTTCATTAGAACGATGATCTCCAAGCTATACAGTATCAGCAACCTAACCGAAGAAAAGTATAGACGGCTTTGTGTAAAGCGATATTCCTTTTTCAGTTAAAATATTGAACAGTTAAACAAAAGCTTTAAGAAATCGTAGTCCTTTTATGTAAATCCCAAACAGGAGTACGCCTATCCGGTGTCTTGTTAACTTAGAAAAAGAAAACGAACGGATCCCGCGCAACAGTCTGTGGCCATGCGCGGGCACACGGCATAGATGGCCAGCTGTTACGGGTCATCCATTCACTGTAATCTGATAGCAAGTGCTGCGTCAAAGTAAATAACGCTAAAACGAAACCCTTCAACTTTGGCACTGCCCCCCCCCCCACAAAGGCTGTGTCCTATCTTCTATCCTGTTTGCTGTACATGGACAAAATAGTCAGGAGCTGCCAAGGCGATGAGGGTATCGGTGTAGGAGATATGAAGACGAGAAGGCTGCTGTCTGCAGAAGACTTTGTTATATTGGCATCTTCTGAAGCTGGTCTTCAGTGCTCCTTAGAAAGCTTCGCAGCCGAGTGCGACGTGACCGGCATGCAGGTGAACGCATCTAAAACGAAAAGCCTAGTGCTCTCTCGTCCTCCTGCCCGTTGCTCTCTTCAGATTAACGGAAAGGCAGTGGAGCAGGTGGAGAAGTTCAAGTAC